AAAAAGAAAAAACAACTGGATAACCAGCCAAAAATGAAATGTTCAAAAAAAGGATCAAACAAAATTCGCTACAAGCTCTTTACTCGCAATGAATAAAGGATGGGGAAGACAAAGGTGAAACAAAAAGGAATGCAATAGTGATGAACTCTAATGCAAATAAATTATAATAAAATTTTTAAAACATTGCACAATTAATTATTTCTTTTCCAAATATGAAAGAACTTAACATTTTGGTAACTCCCCTCCGAAATAATCTATGAAAAGAGGGGATTATTACGGAACTGTCGTTGGCAGTTAACTACTAGTGTCATAAACAGTGGTCACCGAAACGTCCTCAAGTAAAGCAGAGGCTATAAAGAAAGTTCATTTTTTTGGATATCCAAATTAGTGGAAATGCCACAAATGCAATGAATTACTTAAAAAGTAATTGGTTTAAATTGATCAGGGGAAATGAATAATATCATTACTGTTTAAAATCTATTTGAGCGAGTAATGATACTTATCAAGTCCTGCTGAAAAATCACTGGTGATATTTAATCTTTTTTTTTTTGCAAGATAATTTTTCGAAGTGGAATAATTTTGTGTAATGAAAGTCTAATAGAAAATTAAGAATCGGAATGTTTTGACTGTCATAATCGTTAATCTTTAGCAAAAAGTTTATGAATAGTAGTGCTACTTTAAAAGACACACGGGATGACAATCGAACATCACTTGACTGTACTATGTTCTTGATCTCAAAAAATAGCTCAGATCTGTAATCAGTTCAGCTTCAAATCCTCAGTGGTTAACCCCGAGAATAATTATATGTACTGAATTTATTCAGAAGGCTACAGATTATAAATCTAAGGGAAACATAGGTTTCAAAGCTTTGCTTACTGGCCACAATTAATGGGCCTACAATTAATTAGAATCTTGAGCCAACAGTTTCCTAACTTCTCTGTAGTATGTTTTCACATACAGAAAATGAGGAAGTTCGACAGCAAAGTTTAACCATTTAAATTTTTAGCTAGCAATAAAGCAGTTGCTTTAGTCATTGAATTAGTAGCTTCAAGGAGTCACTATGAAAAGATATCCAGACAATTGCAGCAAATTTCATCACTTTTGATCATCTTAGGAATTACAAGGAAAAGAAAAGAAACAGAAAAATGTCAAACTTTGTGTGCATGGCCATTGAGCAAATTAGGCGTTTCAAGCGGTGTTGTCGTAGTTTCGTTGTGACTCGAATTGTCATGCGACTGATTCATTGGAATTTTTTCTATATCTATAACCGTAGCGCCAACACCACTAATTTTCGGACTTCTTGAATCATGCCACGAATCGAGATATCCATGATAGGCACCATAATGGGTGTGTCGCGGCAATGATCGATCCTCCAGCGACTGAAAGCAATTTCACATGCTCACCGTTGGCATATTTTGATCAACAACTCAACGTAACCTACCTTTAGTGACTTTATCGGATATTCCCGAAATTACTTTGGATGCTTAAACTACTTCAATAAAAACTAACGACTATAATTATGCACTACCTACCAACAATTTACCTTTTTATATTTAAATATTTGCTAATAGAGTATGAAAGATGCAGTGGAATGCAAAAGGTGCAGATGACACAATTAGATTTAATTTTAACAAAAACTTCGACAAATTCTGGCAATATTTACTTTAAAATATCAGTCACTTATTTTCACTGAATTGGCATCAATTCCTCAAACTGTTCATCCAAAAAAGAAAAAATTTTTTGGAAGAATATTCTGAAATTTGAAACTTCACAAACAAACCTCAATCCGATGTCCTAACTCACGTTTTCGACGTGCAGCATTACTTCGACCCTGAGTAAGCTTACCAATTAGAAATAAAAATATACCAAGAACCGACAAGCAAACCAAACCAATGGTCATATTACGCAAATCCATAATGTAATTTGTCATTCGGTGCATATCATCGGCAACCTAGAGAATTTACTAAAATTTTGTTGGGAAATTTCTACAAATTTTATTAGAAAATTATCAAACATACATAATGCCATAATATGGTTCATTAAACTTTAACTAACGTAAATAATTAAAAATGACAAACACCTGCATCATTTTTGGAATGCTTTTGAATATAACATTCATGTCCGGATAGGGTTGATGATCCATCATTATATCTGATTTTGGAGTACTGTTGTTGCCTCCCATGACGTCACACTACTTGAAGTGCACAAAAAATATGAAGGCAGTATAACGCGTACTTCCAGCGGGTGACACACTAGAACGTAATGATATCTGAAAATTCATCCCACAACGAATTATCAAACCATAAAATCAGTTGCAAAATTCTACCCATAACTTCGGAAGAGAGGGTTAGAACTAAAATTACCAGTCCTAGATTAAATGAAGAGCAGTAGCTAAGCAGACATCATTGAGAAGAATGTTACAGTTGTGAAAAAGATTAACAAAAACATTGAATTTTAATAATTGCATGTTGAATTTTTGAATTCAATTACCTATCTATCATGTCATTTTAGGGAATTATTTAGTATCATTTGGATGCAATTAAGTGATCATTTAGACTAAGTGGTCATTTCGCAGTTAAGTGATCATTTAGACGCAATTAAGTGATAGATTAAGTAAATGATATAGAATGGAGAGAGAAAGCAAGATCTGTAATAAATTCAAATGATAATTAACTGACGTAATGGAACAGATGCATAATGTAAGGTAATATATTAATTAGTTTGGGGTTATTAAGTTTGTTATTTGGAAAACTGACTTAGAAAAGTAAATCTTTAGAAGTTGCGATTTATGGATTCATGCAAGTGAAGAATAACTTTACACTAAAATAGTATCCTTCCCATGTTAATTTCCCAGGATGAAATTGAAATTTACCTGGCATTTAGAAACTAATCAGATCACCAAGAGTAAAATCTGCAACAATTACCAACTAGTTTTTCAAATTACAGCTTTTAAAAAGCCAATATCCTTTCTGCTTTTGTCAGATCAAATGCAGGCCTCGGTGATTTTACTAATGAAAGGACAGTTGCACATTGTATTTATGGTATAACATCTGTGACAAATGAATGTTTGCATTGAACGATTAAATTGTTCTTTAACTTATGCCAAACATTTCGTTTGTTATCAGTGTAAACTAATTTGAATCTTAAATCGTATAGCTATCAAAACGCGATAACATGGAAGTAGTGTGTTTTCTAGTGTTGAATCAGTTTCACCTGACTTGTCGATCTTCATCTGGCTGATTAGACTATTGACTTAACCGTACTACAATAGTGTTGGATGATAAACATCATTCGATTCAGTTAAGAAATTCTAAATATGAGAAAGGCAAAATCTGAAATAAACGAAAAACGAAAAAAAAATGAGGAAAACGCACCAAAAAGAAGGATTTAGCTGAGATGGGTTTAAAAGATTCCCCAAGGAGAAGCAACAAAGTTTTGGGATGCCAACGCTATGCAGTGTTTTTCTAATATTCTGATAAAAGCAAAACTATACAAAAAATGGAAAAAGAATAGTAATAATAAAAAAATAGACATATCGACTAACTGATAAACTCAATTACTGCTCGAAGAGAAATTCGCATTAACATTTTTGAGATTGTTTGAAGTTATCAAGCAGGAAAATATATCATTCGCTTCAGCTTATGGTCAACTTTCGAGCAAGAAGATAGAAATTGCGCTATAGCATTTCCTTACCGCCTATATAGGATATTAAATTATTAGTGCGTTCGTCCAGCTATCACATATCCAGCCAAAAAAAAAAAAACCTTTAGCATTGTATTTCTCTTGTAGAATGAACTAAGGAAAATTTTCTATTATTATTTCGAATTGATAATTTCAGCAATCATATGTACAAGGAAGTAAAATTAAGTGCTATCCAAACCACTCCATCAGCAATTACGAAGTTTGAGAAGACTTCACCTCATACTGATCCTTTTAGGAACTTTATGGATACGATCAGTATCAGTTACTACAAAACCCGTTAGAAAGATAGCTGTTTATTCGTGGCTTTTCAAATTCAGTGTACCTACTATTTACGTCAAAACTTGGAACGGTTTCCATGTTTGGAATGCGACATATTAAGTTATTAGGAAGCTTTCCTTCAAAAGAATTATTTTTTGAAGAGTAAATGAGTGCTCATTTTTATATGTCGAAATTTTTGATAACCTGGAGACTATTCCATATACTTTTTTTACAGTGAAAATAATTTTCATGGCATTATCATTCAAAGTAAACGCATCAAAATGATTTATTGTGCCATGTTGACTTAACTTATTGTAATCACAAAAATTAAAGTTCAATAAAAAGTCCGAAGTAACATCAGCTTGAAAAAAAAATGCACTTAATAATACTCAATACTCAGGGGATTGCACGAATAATTCCAAAACCTCTCCACTCTTATTTTCTAATAATCCTAAATAACACTTCCCATTGAATGTTCTGGATTTTAAAATTTAAAAATTACGAAGTTTGGAGCTGATTGCTTCTATTCCAATTTACTCCTAAGTTTTAAAAATATATAATAATCTATTTTTGTGTAAAATGGCAAAGACGACGCAAGAGAGCTCAACTTCACAGAAATCTCTTACTTCACTTTGATCAGATCAGGGAACTCCGCAACAAATTATTTTTAGGGAAAGTTTCCCAATTTCCATTTCTATAAAGCTTTTTATTACTTTTTTCTCATTTCCATTTCATGTCTACATAGCGACTAATAAACAATTGTAATTTTAAAATGGTTCACTTCCGGTTGATTCTAAACAACAAATGAATTTAGCGCTAACATTAAAGCACCTGTTGGTACACAAGAATATGATTATTATTGATGAATCTTGATGAACACTCTGTCTCTCTGAGAAAATTTGCCCGTTTTTAATCTCTCATAACGATAGTTATAGGAGAATATTACGTTGGAATAGTTCATTTGATAACGATAAGAAAAACGGAAGAACAGAAAGGAGTAAGAAATCATTGAGAATTCCGTATTGGATACTCCTTACAAATACTCTAACATTGTTACAGTTTACAACAAATAAACAGTAACATTTATTACATTTGTTAGATTTTATAAAGTCATTTAAAGTTGACAGTATCACAAAGGAAATGATAAGAGGAATTATGCACGTGGCTAAAGTGTGAAATGGTAATTACAGCTAAATGTCCCATTTTTGGAGCATGCTAGAAATAAAACAATCTGCAGCAACGATTGATTGTAACGAATTTCATGATAAGAGGAGAACTTCAACAGATGTGAAAAGAAAGATGTGTAGACACATGCTTCTAACCATTAACGAAATAAGCGGGTTACCTGTAAAGACAGGAATGATTAAAATACACAGCATTAAGCAAAAAATTCAATATATTTTTGAAAGCTGTTCAGTTCAACTGAGAACCGCAAAGTAGTTTTAGAAATGTTGCATGAAGTATCGATACTTGTCTATTATTTATAATATAGAATGTTGTCATCAATAAGCGCTCTAGTTGCATACCTCTGCTATTGCTATCTATTATCATTATCATCATTGCTGAAGAACATTTTCCTGAGTGAAAATTTCCTGAACTATTATCAGAGGTTTCTGATAACATCGAATTACAGAAATTTTTTGAGAAGTTAACACGGATGTGATGCAATTGAATTTAAATAAAAATTACTAAACATTTTTCACATTACTCATTTGACATTTATAAAAGAAAAGAATATCAAGAAGGGAATTTTTGGGTTGGAGTTGTTGTAGAACGTTCACTTTCACAGATGACATATCCAGAAGTGGAAGGAGTAAGCAAAAGATATCTATCAGGAATGAAGAGACAAGAGAATAGAACAGAAGACCAGACAATTGGTAGTATGAGGGGGGAATGAATTTCTAACATATGATCCTCTTCACTCCGTATAGATACACTTCACGTCATCTGACTAATACGCCTAGTACTGCTCTTTCCACTTCACTCCAAACCAAACAGCTATTACTCTGAGGGTTGTAATAAATTATCAAATGACCAGAATTAACTGCCGAGTTGAAGTGCAACTTTTCTGATTTTATTCAAATTGAGCTTTTTGAAATAAATGGAATTTTTAAGAACAATTAGCTCAAGAACGATAGAAGGAACCTAAAATGGAACATTCTACACTCTTCCCTATAATTATAACTTCTTGATAAATCTCATTAAGACAATTTCAGCTTGTTTCATCCATGCAAACATCAAAAGTATATGTATGCTCACGTGGAATTTAAGTAACAGTTAAACTGAAACATGAACTGAAAACAACCTTAATTCAATTAGAACATATCATATCTGAATAGAAACACAACAGGTACTCTAGCAGACAACGATGATAAAATGAAAAAGAGTCGAAGATTTAAATCGGAGGAGAAAAACAAAAAGTGAATTAATGTTATAGCAATAAGATGGGTACTTTGCTGACCTCTGACTAATATTGATCTTATTTGACCTGACCATCAATAGCAGCAACGAGAATCAGCTCCATTCTTTTTGATGAATTAATAAATGTAGAGAGAGAAAGAGAGAGGAAGATGTATCATCATACATAAAATAAACCACTTAGAATCTACTTTGTTTTTTTCTGAAAAATAGGAAATACGTAAGTCAATGGCATACTCACACTTAACCCTATTCAGATGCTTTTCCACTTTCGAAAGATAAGGATAAACAATATTATTGAAAACGTGTAATAGTTACACTGAGCACGATGATTTTACACATTCAGCCATCTCGCAGACAACGATACCGACCATTCAGATTTATCCAAGAGATTCTTAATAAATCATTACAACTCAGATCTGTACCTCATCAGTGGTTCAAAGTTGATATCGCAACATATTCATAATTCTTTTGCAAAATTACTATTAATTTGATGAGTGAGTTCAGATCGCTTCATCGATTAAATGAATAATTGTTTTATGTTCATGTTTTACTACTGCTAATCTGCTGGACTTTCATAAAAGCAAGCATTTGCAATAGATCTCATTCACACAAATATTCAACTGTATAATCAAGTATGAATTAGAAGATAGCGAAATGTTTGAAAGTAAATGTTGATTAATAGTATAAACAAAAAAAAGAGAAATGTGATGATGCTACCATCCCTCAATTAGCAACAATGATTAAATGCTAAGTTGTAAAATTTAGTCTATTGCTGAGTTTGATATAATGGTTTGAAATGAAATGCTCATTGGTCTTCTCCAAAAAGCCAGAATTATTTGAGAAACCATCTCGACTAAGGAAAAACAATAACAGATATAGAAAATGCAAAGACCGTAATTAACTCTGACATCAGGTAACTATATACTGACATTTCCTCGTATAAGATATTTTCAAGAAGTGTTTTAAAGGCTTATGTTACAAATCACATAACCGAGAGAACAGTTCAGAACTGAATTTCGATTAACTTCCAAATGAATAATTATAACAAATAAACGATGCCAAATCAATAGTAAGCATTTTTTTCTGATTGAATATGGCTTCTAACTTCTCAAAATACGATTCAAGCAAATTGGAAAACGATCTTTTTCGAGATAAAGTCTCATTACATTCCATTGGAATCTGATGATATTGTCAATGAGCTGATTTCCTTACCAACAAACTTTAACAAATCATGGAGGCTCTCTTCCAAAAATAATTCGTCCAGATTTAAATTTCAACTACAAGTCTTAATACTTCGAAATAAAAAGCAGGACAGAGAGGTAAATTATTTTATTTTCAGTAAAACAAAATTTAGAACAGTGAAACCAATAAAAGATCTAAGATCGATTGGCTAACAATGAGATGCCTTAAAGCCACAAAAATAGCCAATCCCCAACAGTGTGCATTGGCAGTGCTATACGAATTAGAATGTATATTATTGGATATTGATTCATTGGAAAGTGCAATATGGCATGCTAACCCGTACTAACTTCAACAATCAACCAATTTTACAACTCATATGAATATAAAAGAAGGGAAAAAAATGACACGTCGTGTAACCAATCAACTTCCTTTACACTTCAACTTCCAGTGTTACTTTCATTCAGTTATTATTGTTTGTCTTAATGAGGCATTGTTGATTTAATTAACATTTCATGCAATCAACAAACATGCAACTGATAAATTCCCATCTGACTATTTTAATAATTTGATTAAATATACGGTTTAATAATAGCTTTATTCCACCTGTTATTCCTTCATGTTATTCCCTTCATGTTACTTTCCTTTTTGGTACATTAGAGGCTTAAAAATCAACAGGAAAATTAGCAAATCGACATAGCTTATTATTGGTAAAAGTTTACTATCTAACCTTTTACCTCTAAAAAGAACTCTAAGCTTCCATGCTACCAACATTGTTCGTATTAGGAATACAAATACGACAATTATCCAGCCATTAGCTTAATTATACTATGAATAAAAGCAATGAACAAGTTGTTTTCAAGATCACGGTTACAGTATCTTCTGAAAGATATCGGGGGATAAAAAAAAAAGTACTGGAGTTAACTACTTCATTGTAACCTTCTCTGTTAAGATTTATTTATTATGAAATTCAGGAATCAAAAGGAGGAAATTTTGCTTTTCAAACATATATCAGTTCTGTCCTCATTGTCATTATTATTGTTCTGTACAAATATGCAAATTTTGTTTGCATTATTTCTATAGCTGGAAATAGGAAGTATGTTGTGTATAGACATCGAGTTTATTGTTGGTTCAGTTGTACAAATACAGAGACTGTCGCTACCATCACCCAGCTTTGGACAATTTACCCGTATCGGTTTGGATACCAACATGGCTAACTCAAATATTGAAAGCCTTTTTAACATCTTCAAACCATACCAGTATCTACATTCTGATGAATCTATGCCAAGCTCTAGGACAAACAAAAATTTGTTGACCAGAGAGGCAGCAGAATTTGAACTTACTAATAGCTTTCATCTGCATAAGCTTTCTTCCCAATTTACTATTGCCTTTTCAACATATTCTAACGTCCCGAATCCATTCAGTGTCTCCGACTAGAAAGAATATTTAACTCGTGGAAATCAAAGTAATAAAAACAATTCCACGGAATCCTTACAACTGAAAGAATGAATGGATATACTGAAAGAACAGCTTCAAATTGGATGGATATCGTATTTTTCTTATCACTTTTATTCGCTGGTAAGTAATTTAGTTTATCTTATTTAGATTATATTCTCTACCGACTTTAAAAGAGTGTAACTTTGTCGCCAGACAATTTTGCTGGTTTGATTTTATAAATGAATTAAGAAGATGAAAAGGAAAGTCTTTTTGCTAATTACCTTACAGAAATCTATACATAGGTGAAAAATGCTGGAAAGGATATGAAGGATTCATTAGTGATAAATTTATTCCCACATATTTTAATTATTTGGATTGCTTCAATGAGCCTTTCCTTAATTCTTTAAATTCAATCCTATTTTTCTGTTTTATTCGGAAGGACAACAAAGATTCCGAAATGTGCACTTATCTGATCTGCTACATTTAATTTGTCACTATTCCCGTCTATTTTATTAAAAATTTTAACTGACATTACTTCCGCTTACTTCAAACTCCATATAATTTTATTAAACGTTTTCGTCCTCGTAGTAGATAGAATAGAATAAAAAATAATTAGTACGACTGATAAACTGTTAATACTACTGCCTTTAGAAGTACCAAAACATTTCCCTTCACTTTACTATAAATTCTAAACAATTAATTAATGCATAGCCATATACATTTGCTTTATCACAGCTTTACCACACCCGTAGTATTATAAACAGTCTGTAAATAATAACCTTGTACATCGGCAACGCATGGGACTGTTATCTAAATTTAAATATTCTTACTGTTTTGGAAATTTAACTTAGTTCAACCAATTTTTAGAGAATTACGAATGGTCATCTTAATTAATCAGTAAATAACCATAAAGATATTTTCTCTGTTAGACTTTCTTATTAAGAACTCCATTAATGAGACTAAAGAGGAGAATAAAGCTAAGAGAACTTTTGCAAATGATTACGAGTGGTCCAGAAAAATCTAGACTACTCGTTAGCTCGAAGTCCAAAAGCTTAACGGTGGAATTAAAAGTTTGAGTAAAAATAAAAAACTGAAATGGTGCCGAAACTAACAGAATAGCAGGAGTAAAGAGTCTTTAAACGTACTTTAAATAACATATTTAATACTCAGTACCATTTGCTTTACTATGCATCCAAATGTTATCAATCATATATTTCATCTCTTCTACGAATTTCATCACTTTTTCCACACAGTTATATCTTCCTAAAAATTCACAGGAACTACAAACATTAAAATTTAGGTACCTCATCGAACGGAATAGCTCATGTTGGTGAGATTGGGGCGTTTTGTGATTCGGATCCACGTAACCTTCCGTGTACTACTCCAAATACTTTATGTGTCAATGATATTTGCACTTGCGCACCATTGTACGAACAGGTCAACGGCGAATGTATTTTGAAATCAAGTAATATGCAATCCTTTCAATAAATTCTAAATTTTAAGCTCTAAGTTATTCCTTAGAAACTTAATTAATCGCGTATTAAGACATTTAAACTGTGTAAGCTTCCTTAATGATTATTACACGACTCTTTGATTCCAGGACAGTTCAACAACCTTTTGTAAATCTCCTCTTTTCTTTTGCCATTCGTATATCTAATCGGAACAAATAGACGTACCGATTATTAACTCTCCACGTACTGTAATTTTCATAGACATTAGAGAGTTTCCTGTCCTAACTTGATTTCTAAGTTAAAAAAAGTCTCGCCTATTTTCAGGTGATACTTTGGCTTCGAAGTGTAAAACATCAGCGGAATGTACAGGGAAAGGAGAATACTGCAATAGAAGTAGCGGAAAGTGCTGGTGCTTACCAACACATTTCGTACTGGGTAAAGAATGTAAACCAGGTAAGCATCGACTATTTGAATATCTTGCTTTATCATCCATTTTTGTAGGAAATCTTCCCTATGCCTCATGAAAATCAAGTATGTACCATAATTGAATAGGTTTCAGCTAATTTAATTTTCCTCCCTATAAAGTTCATACAAGAATAAACAATTGAAAATGAAATAAAGAAGCGGAGAGACGAAAAGAAGTTCAACTTGAAATGAAAGGGGAAGATGGACAATCAGTTTGCACAATATCTCGTAATAGTCTTTATCATATTTTAGTGATTTATCCAGGACAAAACGGTTGCGAAGATTCAAGACAGTGCGCTAAAGGTTATCCAGGTGCAATTTGCACCACTCAGAACAAATGCCAGTGTCCAAAGGGTTTCAGAGCTAAAGCATTTAGTTGTTTCAAAAGTTAATTTTACATATGGTTTTCCTTCTTTCACTGACACTTATTTTAAAAAATATCAAATTCGAAGAGAACTTTTAACTCATTTTTTCTCCTTTTGTTTTTTGCATAAGTTCTTTAGAGAATTCACAAAAAAATGGAACTAAAACAGCGCTTCTTCTACAAATTCTGAAATTTCAATTTATAGTTTGATTTTGTCATTGCTATTAATGTATGATTTTTGTTCCCTTTTGCTTCGAAATACATTTTGTTTTTGAAATTTCACAACACAGCAATGGTTCTATAGATAAACGATACGCTCCACAACGTAAACGATCACAGCCGCTCGGTATGAGCGCTTATGACTACAACGGCTTTGCTGAAAAAGCAAAATACGACCATTTCGATATCCCGGCAGGTTAATAATTGATTAAAGATAATGTATTAAAGTGCTAATTCTATTTTATTCTTTACTTAATATTTAACTTCTGCAAATAACTTTGAATTTAGTCCGAATAACTAACTGAAATGCCATTCCAAAATCATTCCTTCTTCCCTGTCTATCATCTTGTTTGTAGTATTTAGTTAAATCGATTCAGTCAGGCGATAGATTCATAAAACGAGAACCATCTGTAAACATTCTTTTAAGAGTGGCTAAGTGATAAGTTTTGACATATATATAAACACATAAAAGTGACTTGGAGATAATTTAGTGATAAACAATTATTGTTGTGTTGCCATAATCATTAATCAAACATTGAGAAAAATGTGCAATTGTTACAAAGATATATGAATATCATGAGCTAATTGTACAGACTTATTTCGGATTCCCGTTAGCTTACTCTGAAGAAGGATGCAATGCTTATTGAATACCGAACAGATTGTAAGAATACTATTTCACATAAATTCATGCTAGATTACCATTATTTCTGAAAATAGGAACTATGGTTTTTATGAAATTCCGATCATTTCAGTACACGAAAAAGCCATCTCATCTCTATGTCCGGCACAGCAAGTATTCATACATGAAACTGGAATTTGTATGTCAAGTAAGCATTTGTAACTTGCAGAACTTTCTGATTCAAAGCTTTCTATTAATTGAATCATTTTCAGCACGATTACCGGGTCAATCTTGTCAGTACTCTGAACAGTGTGCAGCAATTGAACCAGGAACGTTTTGCAGAAAGCTAAGATGTAAATGCGCTCGAGGAATGAAACTCAATGGAAATTCATGTACTTTTATGGAACCAAAATGTGCTATATATGGCCATGTTTGGATACCTGAAATGGGCCAGTGCATGCAAGGTACAATATCTTCGCAAACTGCTAACAAAGCTAACAACGGCGTGGAGCAAAGTTTTTGATTTTCTATGATTGATTAATAGAAAGGGATTGTTGGGAAATTTTAATCTGTTGAACTCGTTTCTATTTATTCGGGATGTGACATTGTTCTCGCACAATATTACTAGTTAACAACAAAAAAAGGTATAAAAAGTATACATATATTACACGATAAATTAGTAGGCAGTGATGAGTTATACAATAAGCAAGTAATATGATCAACTAACAAATTCCTTGTCGTTGCCTTCGATAATAATTTGACAGTCAGCTAATTGATAGGTCGTTGAGTTGGAATATGTTACGGGAAATGTATTTCTAGCGAATAGAAAGAATATCGTAGTTTGTTGTACAGTGGTGGCGGATATGCAAAGATGTCGTTGTTTGCGGTTCAGTCGTGGAGAATAAGTGTAGAGGATGTATCGTCTGCTCGATTGTAAAACTGAACTGTCGGTCTCGGGATTTTTTCATATATACATATATAAGGATTAGGGAGAAGTTTTGTAAGCTTCATCGGGGCGCTATCATAGAGGTATGG